GTAGGCATTTGATCATCTTGCATCATCAGAAGGAGGGTGAGTTCAGTAAAATAAAATATTTTGAGAGACCATATTCACATAACTTTTATTATAGTATATTATTTTTCTATTTTATTGTTAATCTTACTGTGCCTAATTTATAAATTAAACTTTATCATAAGTTCATACTTATAGGAAAAAGCATAGTATGTGTAAGATTTGGTGCTATCCATGCTTTTGGCATCTACTGGGGGACTTGGAACATAGCCTCCGCAGAGGAAGGGGGATTACCGTGTAAGTTTTCTTATATAATCACGATTAATTCTACGTTCTTATATTACATTCAAGTTATCTTGATTTGATTTTGGCCATCCTGAGTAAAATGGCCTCATGTTGGATCTTAGGTAAGTCGCTTGACTTTATCTTTTTTTTTTTTTTTTTTTAAGATTTTTATTTATTTATTTGACAGAGAGAGATCACAAGCAGACAAAGAGGCAGGCAGAGAGAGAGAGAGGGAAGCAGGCTCCCCGCTGAGCAGAGCCCGATGTGGGACTCGATCCCAGGACCCTGAGTTCATGACCTGAGCCGAAGGCAGTGGCTTAACCCACTGAGCCACCCAGGCGCCCGACTTTATCTTTTTAATTTACTTTCCAAAGGATAAGCTTAACTTTAAAGTTTATAGTAGATTCCATCCCATAAAACTTTGATTTCTCTTAATTGATGATACAATGACTATATAAGTAGGGCCTTTGTAGTGGGTTAATGATTTGTAAACCACTGGACAGTGCTCCGCGATTTCTAAGCATTCTCTTTTTCTTATCCTTGCATGAGTAGGTTACCCCCATTTAACAGATGAGGAAGCTGAGACACACAGAAATTGAGTAACTTTTCCAGGTTTGTACTGTGAATAGCAAAGCTAGATTGAAACTCAGTTGATAATTCTGAAGCTGGTGCTTTTAACAATCTGTATTTGCTATTGCTCCCTGGTACTACTCCCCAGGAGAAAGCCATTCAGTGTAGCAGAATCCTGCCACTACTAATGATGATGATAAATACAGTTTCCGCTCCTACTTTATACCGGGTACTTGGTATACATTTTTATGAATCCTTCCTGCATTCCTATAATCTAGTTATCATTTAAAAAATTTTGTAAGTGAGATAATTAAGGTTGGAGATCAAATAATAAATAATTATTTATTATATATAAATAATATATAAATAATTATTTTTATTTATATATAAATATTTATATATATAAATATTTATATATTTATATAATTTATATATATATTTATATATGTATATAATTTATATATATAATTTATATATAAATATATAAAAATATATATAATTTATATATATAATTTATATATATATAATTTATATATATAAATATATAAATAATTATATAAAAAAATAATGCCTTTATAAAGGCATATAGCAGATAACTGGAGTCTTTGACTCTGGAACCAAGGCTCCAAGGCGTAGATGGATGGGAGTTTGTGGCACCCCTGGAGAGTAGCAGGTTACCCTGTATAGTTTGGGCCTACAGTACATGGCTGAGCAAAAGAGCTGGGGTGGGGCTTGTGGAGACTGAAGAGCTAAAGGAGAGTTTCTGAATATTTTTTAGAGATGAATAGGTGCTTAAAGTATCATATGGAAGATTGAAGACTTGGAATGGTAAAGAGAGACTCTTGAGTGAGGGCAGAAGAGAATAAAAGTTCTGTTTTCTAATAGACTGAAATCTTGCAATGAGAGAAAAAGTACAGTAGAGATAAAAGAATTGTGTACTTATTTATTTATTTTTAAAGATTTATTTACTTATTTTAGAACAAGCGAAAGAAAGAGTGTGTGCACAGATGTTTGGAGGGTCAGAGGGAGAGGGAGAGAATCCTCAAACAGATTCCTTTTTGAGTGTTAAGCCTGACTTGGGGCTTGATCCCAGGACTCTAAGATCATGACCTGAACTGAAACCAAGAGTCGGCTGCTTAACTGAGCCAACCAAGGACCCTTAGAAATGTATAGTTATTTAGAAGAGAATAGGTGCTTCATAGATTTTCCTTTTCAGATGGGTGGCTTAGATGGGATCATTGTTCTCAGATATAACAGTACCTTGAATCTCTAAGACTGGGAAAAAAAAAAGTTCAGGATGTGGTGTTTTAAACTCAAAGCCTTGGAGAGGTGCTCTATGACATCATCTATAGCATATTTATAAATGTGATAGTGCTTGTGAGGATTGGTAGTTTGGTGGCTGGAGATTAGTCTTATCTTTTTTACTTTCTGGTGGGTGTATGCTTGGCAACAACAGGGGAAGTGGTCCCTTCTCATCTGGCTTTCAGTCAAACTATTTTACATCACAATAAATCTCCAGGCTCTTTAGCATCAGGTCCCTGGTGATCAAAGTATTCAATTCCAGTACCTGATAAAAATCATGAATATCCTGGTAGTTATTTTATGTGTATCCTCTTCAACAGAGCCTTTTAAAAAATTGGATTCATTAGGAAATGGAATCTTTATTCCTTAGAGAATAGATAGGTATATTTGAACAATGGCAAAAGGCAATGTACTTGGGGCCTAAAAGCAAAAGTATCCTCTTTCTTTCCTTCCTATTTTTAATGGAATTTCAAGTATAATTGAATATGTCTCCTGGGACTGGAAGCTATATTTGATCAAGCTAATAATATGGAGAATAGCTAGGGTAAGTCTTTGGAGTACAAGAGTAGGAGTGGTTTTGGCATAGTCAAGCTTTCACCAAGTAATTTTATAGTCCAATCTACAGAATCATAGATCTGAGATTTGGCAAAGACTTAGAAGTAACCTGGGCTAACATCTTGTACAACTAGAAAATTTCTTCTTCACCATTTTCTCAGGCAAGTAGATGTGGAGCTTCTACTTGAGATCTTCCTTTGAGTGCACTAGCCTGGAAGTGTTAACACTCTAGAGGAGGGTGTGGACTGCTGGGGTTTTACTTCCTTCAACATCCACAGTGTGTGGCACTGTGCCTCAGTTTCCTTGCTCTGCTGTAGAATAGTGCTGATTATTGGGCAGTGCTAAGTATTGTCATTTCTTCAAACCTTGGATTTGAAAACATCCAAAATCAGTTTCTATTTCTGCCACTTGTGATGTTGGGCAATTTTCCTAATACCTTTGGTTTCCATTTTTGCATGTGAAACAAGAAGGCAGTACCCAACCAACTAAGGAGTTTGTGAGTTGTGCTCTGAGACCTACTTGGAGAATTATTTAAAAGAATTAATCATAATGTCTGTAGTCTGACAATAGTAGGCACTTTATATGACCTCTTCTCCTTGGGTCTGTTTCTCATCTTTGATCGGTATATGGTATTCGATTCTGAGTTCAGATCCCTGTGGTAATCTGACTAGTACAGAGTGTAAAATAGAGCTATTGCCTTATAGGTACAGGGCACTGTATGAGTTCTTTCAGGAAGGGTAGATAGGATGTGGATAACTGGGTAGGATGGTTTGGAGCTGTTCACCAGAAGACCTGCTTTCCACAATCTATGGCAGTGTAATGATTATGAAGAGCAAGGTCATTCGACTGCCTGGAGGTGTGAAGAGAAAAGGGAAACACAGGCTTATGTCAGAATTTATTAGCATCAACTAAGACTTTTAACAACCAGTTACACTATTGTTTGGTCTCCATTAAAACAATCAGTTGGAGTGATTCCCAGTAGGCTCACTGGCTTTATTTTTCAACTTTGTTTAGAAGCAGTCTAAATAATTAATTTTTTGGAAGTGACTATCTGCTGCAACTATTTATAATGTCTATTTGAAAACTCATTATGCATTAGTAGAAGATTCACGGGTCAAGGAGGGTGAATGTTCTTTGCTTGATGTTTGTAAGAGATTGGCAATGTTGAGAGAAGGAAAAAGCTGCATTTTCTCCATCATTCTTTCCCATTTCAGAATGTACGTACTCATGAGAATCCACCCCAAATATTCTCTTGGTGTAGGACCTTGTTTTGGAAAACATGTTACTGATTTTTAAGTAGCCTCTGAGGTATTACTGCATTTTTTTCTGAAACCCCGTTAGTGGGAATGTATAATGTCTACAAAGTGGGCCACAGATTCCAATGATAGCACATCACTAGTTGTTTCTAAGGAAAGCAATAATGCTATCTCTTCATTAAAACAAAACAAAACTAAATCTAGGGGAAAAGGCAAATGTTCTGTGGTCTGGCTTATTTGCTTAATAGGGTCAATAATACCATCACTATATCAATGGATTGGGTTGCTATCATAAACCTGCAACATAAATCTAAATTTTTTATTGTATAGCCACAAAGGAATTTACTAAAGATCAAAATGTTTTCCACAAATTATCTGCTGTTTGTTTCATTTTGGAATGAAAAAGTTAATTTCTGCCTCATTTACACTTAGTGTGGTTTTGTACTAAGTGTACATCAGATATTGACATGTTGGCAGCCAGGTTTGGCTGAGTGGTAATAATTACTCATTAAACTGAGCACTCTGTTCTTTAGCCATATTGGATAACCAAGAGAGTGTGTGTTTGTGTGCATGTATGAGTGTGTGGGTGTGCACACACACGCATGCATGTCTGTGCCTGTGCCTGTCCTTAAGCATGGTGAAAACCTACCAGCATTATTTCCTACTCCAAGTCTTTTTATTCTACCCTTTGGGCTCTGTTTGGCTAAATGGCTATATAACCAAGGAAACACTCACATCTTCATCATGTAAATTTTAAGAGATAAATTATTTGTAAATAAGCAATTCAATTAATATGTAAGGTAATGAGTTTAATTACTTTTAAAGTGTTTCTTTCAAAGGATAGCTTGTTATAATGGGTTGTTTCCTTAGGGATTAAATAGTTAATGTGTATGTTTTTAAAAAAATTCTGTAAGTATTAATCTGAATTACATTCAAATATTGAAACACTAGTTTTTAAAATGATTTTCTTGTAACTCTTTTGAATATAACTTCTCTACCATGCCTTTACAAATAACTATTAATTGGATATATCATATATGTTGTTTATTTTTGTAGTTAAAACAGAGCCAATGAGCAGCAGTGAAATAGTTTCAACAACAGCAGACGGGTCTTTAGACAATTTCTCAGGTTCAGGTAAGGAATAAATATTAGATTTTCACATTAATTCAAAACATAGTTTTTCTTAGTTTATTTATATATGCAAGTATATCTCTATGTGTATATGTATGTGTGTATAAACGTGTGTATGTAGCATAAAATTGTAAATAGCTTTACTCAGAGTCCTGTACCTGCAATTCTCTTGTTTTTATCCAATGTTACAAAGTATTTGCTGAAAATGTTGATATCCTATAAAGGAGATAAAATCAAAAGGAGTTTTGTTTTTCATATTTCTTTCTACTAAATTATCTTTATTATGTTAATGACTCCTGCCCTTTTCCCCTCATTTGTATGATTTTTACCAATTATGCAAGTTTAGGTAGGCAAAATTTGGCTTCTGCTAACTCTTTAAGCAGATTTAATCAAACCATCCTCCTAAGTAACTATCATGTCAACTATAAATCTATATTAAACTTTATAAAGCAGCTTTCAGTCTTTTTCATTTTTATCTCTTTCACATTAACAAAGTTTGCCTCCAACAAACAAAATACCCAAGTTTTGTATCTTTGCTAATGAAATTACTGATAAAGTCATTGTGGTAATAAAGTAATGGTGAGGTTGTGATTATATATTTGCCAAATTACCCAGCTTGGACTATTTATTTATTTATTTATTTTTTTAAAGATTTTATTTATTTATTTGAGAGACAGAGATCACAAGTGGACAGAGAGGCGGGCAGAGATAGAGGAGAAAGCAGGCTCCCCGAGGAGCGGAGAGCCTGATGTGGGGCTCGATCCCAGGACCCTGGGATCATGACCTGAGCTAAAGACAGAGGCCTTAACCCACTGAGCCACCCAGGCACCCCCAGCTTGGACTATTTCAATAAAAAAAATATTTTTATCATATGTAATTCTTAAAATTTTTAACCTTTTTCTTATCCTCTGCTGTGTTTACCAAACCTCTTGAATGGAAATGCTATACTTTACAAAAGTTTGTAATTGACTTACTTCAGCTCTCAGGGTCTCTTATTTAATACACACTACAACTAAAAGGAATTATACATATTATATAACATGAAATACGAATGCCTAACTTTTATACTAATGATACCAGATGGAAACAATAACGAAATTACAAAAGGGTGTTATACCCATGAGTTCTTTTATAAAACACTTACTAGAATTTGACTTATGCCAGAGAATGTGCTTGCTGCTATTACAGATGAATAGGTATATGAGAATGGCCCTGGTTTGGGGGCTCAGTAGGGTGAATAAATGACCAGACCATCATATTATGGTTTGCTCTTTCCAGAGGGAAGGCCAAGGATCCCCAAGAAGGGGTCCCCCAGGAAGGGACCCAACAGAGACTGGGTTGGGATGGGAGATCAGGGAAAATTTCCTGGAGGAGATGCCTGCTCTCAGCATTCAAATAGGAGTAGGAATAAAGCATACATAAACCTGGGGAAGGAGAAGTTGGACAGATAGAACATTCCATGGGAGGAGACCAGGACACAGAGGCATGGAATTTGGAATTGCCAATGGTTCAGCATTCCAGGTGTGCACAGCGTGAGTGGTGATGGCATGCCGGACAGGGTCAGGGTAGAGTCTAAAGAGGCATTTGTGTCCCACATGATGTTTGCATTGTATCCTGAGTACAGTGGGAGGCGTCAGAGGAAAGGAGTTGCATGATCAATTCACATACAGAATCCTGACCATAGCAGGAGGGAGGGGGCTAGAGAACAGAAGTAGAGGGATCAGGTACAGTATCTTCGTTTTAGTTTGGGCAAGAAATCATGAAGACCTGACATAAGGTGCTGGCAGTGTTATGGAAAGATGGTGGATTAAGGTGTATTTGCAAATACACCTCAATTGCAAATACACCTTAATTTATGGCATAGTAACCAATGAGTTACAGGGGGTCTGTGAGGCAGAGAGACAGGTTAAGGTGATGGAATGCAAGAGGAGCATGACTGAGAGGGAAAGGCATGTTGAAGGGTAGGTAACATCCACCTGAAGATGTTGAAGCTCAGGAATGATCTGGAATGGAAATTTTGGAAGTGTGCGGGGAGTTGAAGGTAGTGGGCTACATGCAGCACAGCTGAAGACAGAATCCAGGAAAAACGAATAGAGAGAGACAGGCAGGGCATAAAATTAAAATACGGGTTTTAATTTTTCAAGGAGGAGGAGAGTTGAGTTGGGAGTGAAGGCAGGAAGAGTTTCACGGAAATGTTGTCTGTAGGATAGATTGGTATACAGCTATTAAAGATAGCTTGGAAAAAATTAAATGGCATGAGCAAATGTTAACTATATTAAGTGAAAAGCAGGTTACAAAGAGTAATATGCTCAGTATAACCCATGGGTTTTCAAACATTTATGTGTATGCCTATGTGTCTTTGTGTATATGTATAAAAATTAATGGTGGCTTTCCCTGGATGATGGAATATAATTTGAATTTTATTCCTTCTGCCTTTTTTCAAAAATGTTTCACAGTGTATTTGTGTAACAGTCTCATGTTTAAAAAGTAGTAATTTTGAAGTGCAAGTTTAAAGTCACATACTGAAAAGAGGTAAATTTAAGTATCTCTAGATAATAGTACTGCTTCGCTATTTTTCCTGATACTGAAAACCTATAGTAAAGGCATTCCTTGTTCTTACTAGTAATTGTAAAGGGACATCTTAGTTGCAGTTCCAAAAAGAGTACATGGGTATGCATATACACATCTATAGGGAAAAAGAGAATAGAGAATAAAGCTAATATACTAAGATGTTAGCATTTAGAGGATTGTGGTTAAGGATATCTGGGAAGTTTTTCTGCTATCTTTGCAACTTTTCTGCAGTGGCAAGTTACGTCAAAATAAAATCTAAATGAGAAACATCAGTGGATTTAGCCTACAGCAGTTTCAGTGGGTGGTGCTTTACTCTCCCTCATGCCCACTTGCCCATATGCCCCATTTCTGTTGTCTTCAATACATTTCCTAGCAGATACATGTGTTCATAAAGTGCACTGAGTAAATGGATGATTTCACCAATAAGGGAGGAGAAAAATGTCTTTCAAGCACGTAAGTGGTAAAAGGAGAAGAGCGGGTAGTCCATTAGAAAGCGGGACCTACGGTTGAGGATGACATTTAGAAGGTCAGGGCAGTTTTGGCTGCCAACACAAATTTTATAGAGGTAGGGGTTAAAGGTATAGAGAAAATGGTGATAATTGATGCAGGGAGGTCCCTGCTGGGACAGCAATGGCTTAAATTCAAAACAGAAGTGGATCGCCTTAGAAAAAAATCACTTTCCCACGAAAACATCAGGAATGACTGGATGGGAATTAATGCAGATGAGTTTGAAGTGGAGGAGGAGTCAATATGTTCAGGAAATTCCTGCCTGATTTCTCTGTTCAAACCCTCCTGTAGCTCCCACATATCTCTCATATCTCTGGATAAATGCTAAGTCCTTGCGATAGCCACAAGCCCCATTGGACCTATTGCCTCCCTCCCACTAGTCCTTCAACATCCCAGACATTCCCAGTCAGGACCTTTGCAGTGGCAGTTCCGCTGCCTGGAGCACCTCTCTGTATACCTGTCTGACTCCCTCTCCACCTTCTGGTCTGTGCTCTCATCTCCCCTTCTCTATGAAGCACTCTCAGCCCCCATCTCGACCACCCTACTCAGTGTTGCAAAACTCTCACTATAGGCTTTCAGCCTCTCTGATGTGCTAAATACAACCTTACCCCCCCCCACACACACACCAATAACACAGCCTTTTATAATCCATATCATTTACTCATGTATTAGGTTTATGGTTGGTGTTTCATACTCACCAAAATGTAAGCTTGTGATGGTATAGATTTGTCTTGTTTTGTTCATTTGTATCCTTGACACCTGAAAGAGGTGCATATTAGGCACTTAGATATTTGCTAGATGAATGAATGAATGAATGAATGAATGAAGGTTTCTACTATTTCCTCTGAAGCAACTCAAAGTGAGGATAGTGCTAGGCTTATGAGCTGGAAGAGATGGAGAAGATTGAAATAGATGTCATGAGGAGTTGGGAAGCCTGAGGTTGCTTGGAACACAAAGGAAGGCTGGCAGTAGAGTCAGAGTCCACACAAGGGTAGAACTATGAGTGTGGAGCCTTTATCATAGAGCAATTTTTCTCTACAAGTGTTTTGCTACCCAGGTCAAAAGATAATTTTCTTTGTGTGTGTGTGTGTGTGTGCTTTTTTTTTTTTTAATTTAATTTTTTTCAGTGTTTCAAAATTCATTGTTTATGCACCACACCAGTGCTCCATGCAATACGCGCCCTCCATAATACCCACCACCAGGCTCACCCAGCCCCCCACCACCCTTCTTGATCCAGGGTTAAGGATTTTGCAGGTCAGGCATGGAAGAATATGAAAGTAAGAGAATTGAGGGTATTGATAAGAGTTTAAAATAATGATTCATATAACCTCCTGGGATAAGTATTGAAAAAAAAAAGGTAAGGGATAACAAATTGAGAGAAGATAAGGATGTCAGGGGTCCTGCATCTATGATAAGTTTGGAGAACAGATTAGATGGGAATAAGGGAAAGAAAATTCTGGCAGAAGAGGATGTTCTTTCCTTAGTCTCAGAACTCACTGAGGCCACTACCCCATGCTTCTGTAGTTAGTCCTCCATACTTCCCTTCCTCAGCCTTCATCACTACTTTTAAAGTTTCTTTTCATTGTCTTTCCTCCTGCTAAACCATACTACTATGAGAACAGAGATTTTGTTTGGCTTGTTCACACTTATCCCGGTGGCCATCGTGGAATTAAGCACGTGGATGCTGGTCAGTAAATGTTGGTTCAGTAAACAAATGAATTGGTTGATGCTGTTGTGGTATGAGACTGTGGAATGTGGCGGGGGGAAGAAAGGTCCACAATGTGTTCTTGAGCTTGATGGTTGGAGTAGAAGGCCAGAGTTGAGGCCTAGACAGGAGGAGAGAAGGGTTGGACCCATAACCCAAGATAACATTGGGACTTGTTAGGGAACAGAGTTAAATATAAAGGTTTTGATAAATGCAAAGC